GTGCCCAAGTAACGCTTGATGGCTGACGAAATTGTCCGACCATCAAAAGCCTCCTCGTCGCACACCAGACGGTCACAAAGCTCACTCACATTCTGAAATGGCAAACATGTGCGAATCTGCATGTTAGCACACACACACCTAAGCGTAAGTCAGCGTAATGCCGCATGTGACATAATGTCTCACTGCACGTATAGGATTAAGGAGGTAGGTGACTTACGGAATTGGCCAGCTGAATAATTGCTTGTATCCTGGATGCGCGACCTGGCACTCGATATACGCCCTCCATGTTAAGGCCGCGTACGCGCAAAGCCTTCACCATCTCCACTAGCAAGTGTGGGACACCCTGGACGATGAAACAGGAAGACATTTAGTGGCAGGATTAAGCGGACCATGGAATGTAAAATGACCTAACTTGCCAACATCATCATCATCATCTCTCTTGAGGACTTACGGGGAAATCAGGCGACTGGTCTTGCTGTGAGACCCGGCCACCGAATACGGACCCCGGCGTGTCCGACTGCTGGCAGGCTGGAAAGGACGAAAGGAAAAGCCTGAAGGCGTGTCATATTGCAACTCAAATCGCTTCACATTAGGTCACCTTAACCTGCATTGGCAAGAAGTGATATCGATGACTCCCAGAAACGTGAAAAATGACTGACAACATTCGGACATCAGCATGAATGCATGTCGTCCTACCGACTCTGTAGAATCAACGCAGTAGCTACTTTCTACCTGACGTATATGGCTGGGATCATGTGGCTGATCGAATGGGCAGAAACATTGTTGGTGTATGACAGCGTCCATATTGTATGCGACCCTTAACATTATTTCAAGCTAGGCAACCAAGCAAACACTACAAGTGTCTACTGGACCATTTTCCATCTAGCATCAATTTTACTATATTACTCAGTCTGAGAGACTGGAGCAAGCTCGAATTCACGTCCAACGTGCATTAAGTAGTGCAACAACGAGGGAAGTATGCAGCACTTACCGCTGGAAGACAGCACAGACGAGCGCTTCTTTTCCCACCTGGCCAGCCGTCGGAAGAACTTGCTCACTTTCTTCGTGCTGCGTCTTGAGCATTTCAACAAAGCATTCGGTGTAGCGCTCGCCATTGCCAGTCGGTGAATTCTGACGCGCAAGCCGTTTGGCCAGATTCAAACGCCCCAACATCGATCGACATGTGGTCTTGCACAAAATCGATTCAGGACATTTGAAATTCCTGCCTCCTTCGCAGGCACGGTCGCAGGCTATGTAAAATGATAGGAAGGCGAGAATTTAACCATGATATTGGGGCGTCATGCATACTTATGTGGAACCGTTTGTCCTGTGTCAGTCTATGTTGGGCTGTGATGTGGTAGGTAAACTACATCCGAAGTTAGGTGTGATTTGGACCCCAGCCTCTTCACGATGAATCAAAGCCGCTGCAATTACTTAGATGAGCCAATTTATTTCGTAAATTTTATTCATAGCAATCGGCTCCCAGCAGATACTGTGGGCTATGTCTTGGACTACTAGAACAGCGAATCGACTCACAACTCCAGAGGGTCTTCGTGTTGTAGTACCTGTGGGGCATGAGCGACTTAAGTGAGAGTACAAAGCATAAAACATCATGTTTTTATAAAAGGGGAATAAAATCGACCGCATGATAGTTAATGACCAGTGATGGTAGTCTATGTTTGGTAAATTATGCTGTGTGCGGCTTCAGGGCAACGAAGTGATGAATCTTTAGAAGCCAGTATGTAATGTGAAGCGTGTGAAGGAGATTGAATAAGTGCTGATTGGGGTGACTAGATTTGGTAGAAGAATAAACGAGGTAACAAAAACATATCTCATCGGAATTTGCTCGAATCTTGACAGGCGGTGGCCTTCTGTTGACTAGTGATGCAGGGTAAGTAGAAATGCAGCATATTCCTGATGGCAGGGCGAGCAACAACCACGTCATCAGCAGGCTTAGCACCTGATTTGTACAATGAGGCAGACTGCAGTGTGTTTTAATTAAGTTTATTTTGGCTGTAGACTGCCTCTGCATCTTATTCCCTGCTTTAAATACTAAAATACTTGGCAGGCGTATCTCATGGTTCTACTATACCCAGAAATTGTTGAATGCATATGTACGTGCTGTTGACAAACCTCCCGGTCGACAGACGTGCGCATCGTAGTCCATGTCCGATAAATGAATTTTCATCAGTGGATTGTGTTAGGTTTCCAATTATGAGCGAGGAAACCTATAGTACACGCAGTAGCTGCCTTATTAATTTAACCTTAATGTTAACTTCGACGGTATCAACTTGAATACAAACGATGCCCATGAACGTGCAGCACCTGTCGTATGGAGTGGTATGTCCTGAAGTATAGGAGGAGTAGTGGTCATGGACAGGGGTTGTAGTCTTAAAATAATTTCATCTATTCCAACAGGGCAAATAAGATCCATGACGGTGAACAGTGGATGCAGTTAGTTCGCCCAGGCCTGTCACACACACGACCAACCGTCCACGGAGTCCGCAGTCACCTGTGCACGCGGAACAACGCGCACAGGGAGTAACCGCCCTCCCCTGGTTTAGCCTGCCGGTCGAGGCCGTTGCCCGAGGTGTGGCCGCTGAGCAGAGCCCAGCTACGTGGAGCCACAGGTGAGAGTTGAGTGCCAGCAAGTGGACGCTAGACGTAGTCTCACCTGCAAGAAAGTGAGCGACCACTACGACCTTCACGTGAACCCACCGCTGACACCCCTACACCCCACACACACACACACACGCGACAGTTCGACCATCGATTTCGACGATGTCCACCGTGTGCCCCACACCAGGTGGGAGCAGGGACGGTGACTTACGCAGGGGTTTATAGTGCGGGTAGACTTGCGCTGCATCTACCTACACTCTCTCCTCCTCACCCGCCTGGGCCCGGTGTCAAGACAGAGTCAAGAAGACCGGAGACGAGGGAGGCCGCAGGTGGATGGCTCGGACGGATCCTCACCTTGACGCTCCACTCCGCACCGCCTGGTCCACGCAACGAATGACCAGAATTTCAACCAACACAACAC